TAGCCTTCTAAACATCTGGACTAGTTTGTTATTTTAAAGCTGATAATCTGTAGCCTTTTAAACATCTGGACTAGTTAGTTAATTACAGCTGATAAATCAGTAGCCTTTTAAACATCTGACTAGTTGGAGAGTTAATTACAGCTGATAATCTGTAGCCTTCTAAACATCTGGACTAGTTAGTTATTTTAAATCTGATAATCTGTAGCCTTTTAAACATCTGGACTAGTTGGAGGTAGTTACAGTTGATAATCTGTATTTCTGTAGTTCATGTTTTATTTTTGTTTTCTGGATAAGCTCTTTGAGTCAGTAGTTGTACATTTAAAATATTTCATTTAAGTTGTGTGGAAATAATCCCTTCTTTAAAAATAATCTTCAGGGTTTTTATGAAACCCTCTAAGCTTGTTTTTAGTTCCTCACCGTTGTTTGACCTTGTTGTGACCTCTCTCCTCTGACATCTGTAGAGCCAGATGTAAAGGTTGCTGTGATCTCCGCCAACAACGTGGTGAGCTCCTCAGTCCCTCCTCCGGGCGGCTCCCCCTCGTCCTCCCCACCCCTCTCTGCGTCCACGCTGGGCCCTCAGGTGATTCCCCGCAGACACGCCCCTGTGGAGGCTCTGGCCCGGCAGGGCTCCTTCAGGGGCTTCCCGGGCCTCAGCCAGAAGACGTCTCCCTTCAAACGGCAGCTTTCTCTGCGCATGAACGAGCTGCCGTCCACCATGCAGCGCAAGTCTGACTTCCCCATGAGAAATACTGGTGAGCAGAGCACTGTGTACAAAAATACATGAAGTACTTTTAAACTGGACTTCTTACGTATGTTATATATTTATTAGAACACAGAGCATGTTTGGATTGTGCTAGAAGATATATATATATATATATATATATATGAAATGTTTATTTATTTATTTAGCATTTTCTAAAGCCCACTTCACACGGGATAAATACAACATAAAAAAGTTTATTATAACTTGTGCATGTAGAGAGTGTGCTCACTAGTTCTGATGGACCGTTGGAGTACGTGGCAAAGCCGGGCCTGATAGAACCAGGTTTCTGTGGTGCTTCAATCTCATACGCTGAACAAAACACGAGCTTCTGCTGGTGTTTCATGATGCAGTCTTCATACCTGTTTATGTGCTGTGGGTCAGCACACATCAGAAACACCCGGGGCCTCGTGTACAAAGACCTGCCTGGATTTTCTATTAACACATGGCGTACGCTTAAATCAATAAAACAGTGTACGCACAAATAAATCCAGATGTTTGAAACCGTGCGTGCGCATGAATCCATCACACTTCCTGTGTTCATCCCAATCAACTTGGAATTGAGCGCACATGAGGGAATACCCGACCCCTCCCTCGACACGCCGCCATTTAAATATGCAAATTGATTTAAATCTGCCCTGCACCTGATGAATCTGCTCTCTGCACCATCAAAAAGCACGTCTACATGCAGGAAAGAGTGGAACTTCACAGAACGTGAGCTGCAGACTCATAAAAATATTAGTTTTATCTCAAACTGATCCACTAGGAGGTGGTGTTGCTTTTAGGAGTTTGTTGCAGCTTCAGACTGAAGAAGTCTTTTGGAGAAAAGATGAAACTGTTTAACAAGAAGAATCTGTCCAGAGGACCTGACTCTACCTGGTTAGACCCATTTAACTTAATCTGGAGTATTCACAAATATTACTTCAAGTCAAATTATAAATCCTCTTCTGACGGCGGTGTACCTGTCAGCTGGGGAGAGAGGCGTCGGTTTCTCTGATTTATTAGACCAGACTGTTTTTCACGAGACCCAACTTCGACTCGTGGGAGAGAGAAAAAAGGCAAAACTTTGTAGACACAACTAAAAACAACAATAAATTAAATATCCAGCAACTTATATCTGTATTTTCTACAGAAAATGTTACGTAATTAGTAAACATTTGTCTAAAAAAGTTAAATCTGGTCCTCTGGACATTCAAAAAAACAAAAAACAAAACAAAGCAAAAAAATATAGAAACGTTTCGTCTCTCATCCGAGAGACTTCCTCAGTCTGAGCTGCTGTTTTCAGCTCATTCTCTTAAATAGCACCTTCTTAGAGTGGATCAACCAGTTTGCTGCTGACAACCAAAACCAGCTGATCACATGCTCAAGAAGGACCATCAGCCTAACAATGGATCATTAGCACCTGATGGCTGTTTACTATTCACAGAGGGCTGAGTGATACTAGCAATCACAGCATTGTAAGAGGGGGACAATGAAACAGTAAACATTTGTGTTGTCAGTGATGCAGGAAATCGTTCGTCCCACTAATATTCTTGGAGCTTCCACTGATTTTGATGATCAGGTCCATATTCCAGATCCAACAGGTCTGTTCTGACCCAGCAGGACTGAAAACTAATGACTGGTCCATGCAGGTGCTCATGAGCCTCTGCAGGTCCATGTCAAACCGTGTACGCTCCAAAGGATTGTGGATCTTTCACACACAGAGGCTAACTGAATGTCTGAATGTTTCTCGTGCAGTCCCTGAGGTGGAAGGAGAAGGCGACAGCATCAGTTCACTGTGCACTCAGATCACCACCGCCTTCAGTGGGCCTGCTGAAGACCCCTTCTCTTCTGCTCCAATGCCCAAACCAGCCTCGTCTCCACAGTCTCCTGTGGCACCAGGTAACTCCTCAGCTGTTGGAACATCTGTGCACGTTCCATTAACAGAGTGCATTTCATGGATGCTGTCACCTGCATGGCACCTGGCATGTGTTTAAACATGAGGGGAACTCTTCTGACGTGTACGCTTGTACTGTTTGCTTTAGTGAATGGCTCAATGCCTGCCTTCTCTGTTGCTGCTGCTAACCCCCCAGTCCTGCCCCCTGCTCTTCCTGCTCGAGACACTAACCCCTGGGCTAAGAAAGCAGGAGGGGCCCCGGCCACAGCGCAGCCAGGTAAGCAGCCTCGTACACGGAGCTTAAGAGCCAAAACCCAGGAGTTAGCATGCTCCGTTCGTGTTGAGAACATGTTCAGAGGAGGACTAGGAGGCCTTTAGCTGTGTTTAGCTGTTTGAACACAGATGTGGACTGGGTTACATTCATGAACCTGACTTGACTTCACACAAGCTCCAGACTTACAACCTGGGTGTTTCAGTCGTGGTCGTTCTGTGGCGTCGAACTCGGTTACCAAAAGGAGCCAAAATGTAAAAACTTTGTCTGAGCTACAGGCCACTTTCAGCTGATGCGTTAACTCGAGTGAGAAACCTGATATCTTTTCTTTTATGTTGTTCATACATCTACAAGTCTCCTACCTGTGGGCTGAGGTGAAGCTCCTGTTAGCAGCGGCGCTTACTCTCAGCTCGCTCCGCACATCACTTCAACTGGAGTGAGAACGACGATGGTCCTGCTGCAGGACCGCTGACTCGTTTATGTTGCTCTCTTTTCTTGTTTATCTGCCCCTCAGGCACTGATCATCAACCAGGACTTATTCTGCAGTATTTAACTGAACTGAAACATATTAAAACGTTTTTAATGAGTCAGAAAATAAGACATTTGACCTAAGAAGAAAGTCTAAAACAACAAAATAAATATCTCAATGGAGCCCGTTTTCCACTGAAAACAGTAACACAAACTGTAATCGTGATAGATGGACATCTTCTAAAGAACCTGGAACAAACAGGCAAGATTATACTGTAAATGATAAAAGGAACACAGTAACTTGTAACTACAGTAGTTCCTCGATTATCGTGGGGGTTACATTCCACACACCCCCGTGATAGGTGAAAAACCTTGAAGTAGGAACACGATATTTATTTTAGTATTTATGTAAAGGCTTTGTAAACCCTTCCCACACTCTTGCAATGCTCTAAACTCTTACACCTACATCATTTTAACAACATACGTACATGTACTGTACAGTACTGCTAAATTTTACTCACCAGCTCTGCAGAGCAGCAGCTCCGTTGCGGTTCTGCGGACCTACCCTGCAACGATGAAGCCCACCAACCCGTCCAGGTTGATGTGCACCTGGATAATTGAGCTTCAGGATTATTTTAGACTTTCCTGCCAGTTCTGTGAGCTTCATAGATCAATCGTTACTTCTCACTTTACGTTTCAAACTTTTCCTCCATTTCGGCAGAAAGCAGCGGCTGGAAGCACTGTTGGCTTCTGGGTAGTGTAGTTCTTTTGATGTGCATTACAATGTAGGCTTTTGAAAGAAAACTACAAAATGGCTGCGCCTGTTCAAAGTTTTTTTCCCTTTGTTATCCCGTACCGTCCCAATCACGTGAGTAATATTAAAGTCGACAGTCGTTGAAAAAACCATGAAAGCAAGTTCGCAAAAGTAGAACCGCGAAGTAGAGAGAGATTACTGTAGTTACTTTCCAGCCATGTCCACAAGAGAGGAGCCTGAGCACTGACTCTTTGTGGTCCTGTGGCGGGGTGAGAACCAAAGAGCTGGTCTGGGTGTAGACTTCAGTGGTCCACCTCCCTCGATGTGCAGCAAACAGCTGAAGAACGTAAGCTGCTGTTTTTGGTGTCCTCCCTTGTTGTCAGTAACGGCTTCACTTCTTTAGCTTGGGTTCTGACCCAGGTACCGTCCACACATTTGGCTCTGTGTTCCCTCGAGTCCAGGGCCTCTCTTCCACTTCCTTCATGTAGAGATACAACCTGCTTCTGTCTCTGAAAGTTCTCGTTGAATTTGAAATATCTTTTGGAGTCCTAAAAGCCGAAACACGAACAGAACTGAAGACGCTTTTTAGATGAGAGGGAAGCCGTCTTCAAGAAGTCCCGCTGTCTCTTCTATTTTCACTACATTGAATGTTTGTCCAGTCAGTGAGTCTGGTTCTTGTGGTTTGTTCCAACAGGAAGTGGCTGGCAGTCTGCTGCCCCAGTGATCGTCCCGCCCCCCTCGTCTTCTCCAGTCATGAGCTCTCACAAACGCACGTCGTCAGAAGCAGACCGGTGGTTGGAAGAAGTCTCTAAATCTGTACGAGCTCCTCAGCCCAATCCTGTTGTAGTTCCCCAGGTGGTCTTCGTGCCCTCGGTTCCCGCCGCTGCGCCCATGCTGCCCCCCCGACAGCCTGCCTTCAACGCTCAGGCTCCGCCTTCCTACCCGGTGTCCAACGGACTGCCGTTTCCTCAGCCCAGCGTTCCCATGTACGGCATCACTCCGTCGCAGATGGTGGCCAACGTGTTCGGCTCGGCAACACATCCCCAAACTTTCCCCGCTCCGGCCTCCACACCGCCCCAGCGTGACACCGCCAGCCCCTTCATGAACCCCCCATCAGCCACAGAGCTGAACACTGCTCCCCTTCAGCCCCCCAACGGCAGTGCCATGTTCAATGGCGCCGACAGCTGGGCCGCCCACTCGTCTCCATCCACCCAGCCTGCAGCGTCGCAGCAAGAAGACGCTTTCGAGGCCCAGTGGGCGGCCTTGGAGAGCCGCTCACGCCAGCACACCTCGCCTTCCCCAACAAACCCCTTCTCCACCGAGCTGCAAAAGACCTTTGAGATTCAGCTCTGAAGACCGTGCAATCAAAGAACGGAAGACATGGCGGAGTCCTCCTGCTTTCATCGTGGCTGGAAGACCGTGGATGAACGGGAGGAGAACTCTTTTTTTGCCGCGGGAGAATAAAAACAATCAAAAACTGAACAGACCGGTGTTTCCTGGCTGCAGCTCCTCGGGCATTTCATTTGCACTCTTTATAATGTTTTCTTCATGCTGTTCCATTCTACCCCCTCCCCCCAGCAGGAAAAAAGAAGTTCAGCATCAAATGAGACATTCTCCTAAATAGGAAAAATAGAACGAGAAAATGCCAAAAGGTTTATTTTTATGCATTAAGTATATTTTAAATAGCTTTGGAGTTTAACAGAAGAGACATGAGTAATCTTGCCAAAGGCACCGGTTATCTATAATGCAACATGTTTATGTCTGTAAACAAGAAATGATCATATATATTATACACGGAGTATATATATACATATATATATACACACATACTGGACACACCACTGACAGCAGAGCTCATTTTTAACGTGATGTAAAGAGATTGTTGTGAAGGGACAGCTGCTTTCTTTGTGTGTTTTATTTTTATTTCTGCCGTCTGTTGCATCCTGCTGGATGTTAAAAATCTACCGTGAAGTCGGGTCTCGTTGCAGCAACAATCAGTCTGGACCTGGACGTGGTGGTGGTGCCTCTCTTACCTGTTCGCAGATTTTAGTGGGTTTAGTTCAAATCAAAACCTTTTTATTTTTTCTGTCTTTTTTTATATCAATAATATTATTTAACACACTTGGATGCAACAATCATGTTTCCTGGCCTTCCAGGCTTTTTTTTTTTATAGTTTATTTAGGTTTTTTTATTTTGCACAAGCACTAAGCTCGATGATTGGAGCTCACAGGAGGTGGTGAGCGACGCGGCGGGTCGGTGGAGGCGCTCCAGTCGCTGATCCGGCCTCGCTGAGGCTCCGACAGGCAGCAGGAAACTGCAGGGAGATAAAATGCTTTCATGTCTCTGTCGTCGTTTGGTTTTTTCCTCTAAATCGAACCTGTGAATATGATTTCTGCTCTATTTTTCCATTTTGTAATTATTTCATTTCTTCAATCCAGTTTGTTGAAGAAATCCTGAAGCTAATAGATTGAATAAATTTATGGTGTTAGAAAAAACATCTGGTTTCTTGATTTAATCTAATAAATTAAAACAAGGGAGCAATACACTTGTTTTGGTTGATGGAAATATTTAAAATTTAAATGTTATCTAGTCCAGACACATTTTTATAGAGGAGCTGCTTGTGAAAAAAAGATGTGGAAAAATAGAAAATACAACTTTCATTCAAACCTTTTCAGAGGCATCTGTCTGGAATAAAAACTAAATAAAGTTGAACTTTTAGTTTTAAGATTCACCTCGTTCTGCTGTTCTTTATTCCTCCAGACAGCAGGGACGCCATAAGCAGCACCTATTATAAAGTATTGTGTATATAAATATATATATATAAATACACACTATATTGTGATTTCATTGAAAATGTGCAGCAAATAAAGGCAAATGGTTCATAGAATTATGCTTCATTATAGTAACACAGACTATTAAAAGTGTTAAAGGTGTATACAACTAAATGTGAAATGAGGCAAACATGGCAATTGTATTAAACAAAACATATTTATTTTTATGTTTTTTTTTTACTAATTAAAGATTTCATAAATGGCTTTAAATCTTTCCTCCAACAATAAAATCAGGTTTAGTTTAAAGTGGTCTCTGTTAGTACTTTAATCACTTTGGTAACAGTTTCTGTTTTAAATGTGCTCTAAATAAATGTGACTCGACTTGGAGTGTAAGGAAAAATATCAAAAAGAAACCAAGAACTTTAAATTACTGCATGAAACCAGCTTTTACATTAAAACTGATTTATTTACAATATTATAATTTAAAAACTAAATTAAGCTAAAAGCTTCAGGGTCTCAAAAGCCAAAACAACAAACAAAAATAAAACTTCCAGCTGGAAATCAAAGCAGTACTAAAAATGAATACTGTACTGTAATGATTGATGAATGAACCTGATGTTTAAATCTCGGTTTACGCAAACAGCGTGCATGACGTCATTTCGTACAGCGAAATTGGATTCCCACGCACGTTCGAGTTACGTATTGTACGTAGCGATGACCCCGGAGGGCGCCTTTTTCACGACAACCGGAAGTAGCGTCTTTTGTTTTGCGCTGCTGTGAGAAGACAAGTCGATTTTCTGCTGTCACGCACGCACACACACGCACACAGAGCCTTTTATTTACAGCTCCACGAGGAGCCTCAGTCCCTGCAGAAGCAGGTGAGTGTGATGTGTTGTTGTTTGTTTTGTTGTTGTTTGTTGTTGTTTTTGTGTGAAACGTGTAGAGTTTTGGTTCCGCCTCTCGCTGTGAGGTTCCAGGGTTCTGGTTCCAGCTCTGACCCGTCAGCATCAATCTGCAGCCACCGAGTCCGGTTGGGTTTGTTCCGGACTGGACCTCCAGTTCAACCAGAGAAACGCTGGAATGGACTGTTGACTCCGCTAGGTGAGATTTTTGGCGGCCATCTTTAAAAGACCTGTTCGCATCACTGTAATGTTTACATGCGGAAGCTGCACATTTTAAATCTTCCTGCCTGCTTTGTGCTGTGCCATCAGTGCAATGGCACTCAGAAAAGACTAATTTAACCTAAATAAACATAATAATTTTATAAAATGCCCAATGCGATAAATAAAACAAAAGTTTCTCTAATGAGCCTCCCAGCATTTTAATGGGAGTTCTGCCTCTTCTGCATAAATGACCAAGTCCTGCAGTTATTATCAAGAAACACGCACATAACTGTATTTTAAATATGAATGTCTTTTACATGTTTTATTAGTATAGTATAGTCCAGGGTTCTGCAACCAGCGACTCTTGGGTCCCACTGCTGCAGGTCTTTAAAGTTTTGACCAAAACCAACATAAAATTTAATTTAATTGGTTTTCATACCCTCAACAGAAAAGTCTAGTTTTTGTAGTTTTGCTGTCAATGTTCTGCAGATGTGTGGTTAATATTTCTAAAACAAACGTAATTTATCCAACTTCCTCACAGACGTCCAGTTGGTTCTTTTTCTCGACCAGATCTTCGAGAACCAGATGTGGTTTATTTTTGGTCAGTTTTACAGTAAAATAACTATTTCCATGTTATTGTACTTTTTATGTTGAATATTGACAGTTTTTAAACAGTGCAGCCGGTAAAGGCCTATACATACATGCACACACACACTTTATTAGCTACAGTTGTTTAATTGCTTGTTAACACGAATAATTAATCAGCCAATCACATGACAGCACCCGTGATAAATGGTAAATGGACTGTACTTGTATAGCGCTTTTCTATCTTATCAAGACACTCAAAGCACTTTACACTACAATCTGTGCCTCATTTACCCATTCATACAGCTCTATACTAGATCTCTACAAAGCTAATTGAACAAATCATTCTAAAGAGACTAATCAGTGCTTTATCACATTCATACACCGATGGGACACACATTGGAGGCAATGAGGGGTTCAGTGTCTTGCCCAGGGACACTTCAGCATGTGACTGCTGGCGGATTCAAACCCCCAACTCTTGCATTGGAGGACGACTGCTCTAACCACTCAGCCACAGCCGCCCATAGTGGTGAAGACAGCTGGACAAAGTTCAAACGGGGCATCAGAATCTGCTTATAACATCCAGAGCGTAACAATTAGATGCACATCTGCAACTAACTGACTAACTTTTGGAGCCATCCTGATTCAAGATGGCCGCCTCAGCTAATTGGACCTAATAAAGACATGCTGTATGTAACTTGTAACTCGGTCAATTTTACGGCTGTTAAGTTAAACCTTGGTGTGGCAGTAGCTGAGATAGAGATTCTGTCTGTTTGTTGAGAGATAATTTTCAGATTATATGCTGAAATAAAAAAGGTCATGTGTTATTCGGTCTACGAGGTGAATTCTTTGGTATTCTGTCGCTGTTCTTGCTTCTTGTCACTGGAGGGCGATGTGACGTGTAGGTTGGAGGAGACTGCAGAAGAAGATGAGTGTTCTGTAATGGCATCGTCACAGTTACTGTAAAAAAGTTGGAGTTTAACCATCGTCTCCTTTTTCATTCCAACCACCACAACAGCCTTACATGCGATCAGACTGCCTCCTTTTAATACGTCAAACATTTTACTTTTAACTCGTAGTTCAAACTTTGCATGTTTTGTCTTATACTTCTTTTTTGTAAGTTTCTAACTATTATTCGACTGTATCACTTTGTTTTTGTGTGCCTGTGTCTCCTGCACCAAGTGACCAGGACAAAGTCTTTGTTAAACATGATGATAAACCTGAAGGTGGTTGAATTCACTTATTCAACTTCTTGACCTTTGGAGCCAGCTCAACTCAAGATGGCTACCACAGCCAGCTGTCCTCAGAACACACAAAACTGACTAAAAGTCTGTCCATTCTGCAAATATTGTGCTCAAAGTTACTGTAGCAGTAGCCGAGAGTCATTCAGAGCACCATGTCAGCATCAACCATGTTTGTCTGTTAGCAAAATATCTCATGAACCACTTGATGGATAACAATAGGCTGACCTGGCTACGTCTCCATCATTTAATTTAAACTGTTTGGCCTTAACTTCTTCTGTCTTGTCTTTCGTTAGATGAAATGACCGAACATGTCTCTTAAAGAAGATCATGGAAGTAAAAAGGGGTGAGCAACTCAAATAATAAGCTGTGTTGTTAAAATGTGAGTGAAATGCAGCACTCTGTTCTCCTTCTTCCAGCCCTCATCACACTGATTTATACGTCAGCATCCCTGAGACGTGTCTGCCTATCGTCTACCACCCGGACTACAACATCACCTTCATGGGGCTGGAGAAGCTCCATCCCTTTGATGCAGGGAAGTGGGGGAAGGTCATAAACTTCCTGAAAGGTAAGAGCACAGAGCAGGACATAAGGGACAACTTCCTGTGCTCATCCACAACGCCAACTCCGAAGGACATTGTGCCGTTGAGTAAATGTAAAGAATCAAACAATGCAATGATTTGACAATCTCATAAACCCAGATTAGATGTTTAAACCAGGGATGCATGAATATCTGTTCCACTGTTAGGTACCGTGTGGAGGGATTTCATGAACAATAGGCAAGTGGCTGGAAGGTGAGGAGACCTCTGAGGAAGTCACAAGGGAGCTCGATGTCATACAGCAGGAGTCCAGGAACAGGGAGGCAGCAGAAGTTAATGCTGAAACACGTAAGGTTATCTGTCACAAGATAATGCAAAATGGCCAGAAACACAATGACCGTTAGGAATGTAATGCTCCAGCGGCGAAGGGAGGTCTTCTGCAGCCTTTTGTAGTCCTGCAGCTCATCAAGGAGATGCTCCACAGGTGTGGCTTGTTGGCTGAGAGAGCTGAACTCCCATATTGTCCCCCTGTTGGTGAGGGGGCAGGGGGTTCTTTAGGTATTTCTATCGTCTGATGTTTGTAGAAAAAACTGTTTGTTAAGAAAGTAGAACCGTGGTCGGGGAACCCAGCTGAGTTTTGCAGTGATCTGCTTTTCATCTGGCACTGATGGTTCCCATTGGCTCGGCTTCCTCTAAAGTTTGGGGATAAAAAAAACTCCTCCAACTCTGTCAGTCTGGAAAAGTTGTGCTGCACAGATCTGTAGGGTTTTATATTATATTAATAATGTAATTGTTGAGAAAGTTTAGATTCTGATTTTCAGGATGATGAGCACAGTTACAGGTAAAAGCTGTGTTCTTTTGAGGAGAGGACAGATGTGCAGACTCCAGTCTCTGCATTCTTCATGGTGGATGAGCCTCACGACAGAATGACGGTCTGTTCAGAACAAAAGGATAAGCAGAGAAACGAGGATGGGTTCGGCCAGGAGTCGCTGTCTTCCTGTGGCCAGAACAAACAGCTGCACATTAAAGAGGAAGTTGTTTTAATTCAGACAGGAGGTCCGTCTTCACTATAACTTCAGCTTTCAAGACAGATAAAAAAAAAAAACACTTTTTAAAAACTAAACTACATCTCGAGACCAGATGCAGCGCAGTAAAGGTGATTTTTGGGGGACTACACGAGAGAGACCCACTTTCTGACATGACGGGACACAAAGAAACCACCCAGAGCCTGAAGGACCACAAACCTTTTATTTATTTATTTATTTATTTATTTATTTATGTTTTGTTCATAACTTTTATGGACAGGATTTCTCGGTGCAGCTACGGGGCGGAGGGATTCCGGTTCGGTGGCCTCAGGATTCCATCTCTGCTCTTCGCAGATGATGTGGTCCTGTTGGCTTCATCGTGCCGTGACCTTCAGCTCTCACTGGAGCGGTTCACAGCAGAGTGTGAAGCAGCTGGATGAGAACCAGCACCTCCAAATCTGAGGCCGTGGTCCTCAGTTGGAAACTGGTGGATTGTTCTCTTCATGTCGAGGGTGAGGTTCTGCCTCAAGTGGAGGAGTTCAAGTATCTCGGGGTTTTGTTCATGAGTGAGGGAAGAATGGAGCATGAGATTGACAGATTGGTGCCGTGTCTGTAGTATTGTGGACTTTGTGCCGGTCCGTTGTGGTGAAGAGGGAGCTGAGCTGTAAGACAAAGATCTCTGTTTACCGGTCAGTCTACGTTCCTCCCCTCACCTATGGTCATGAACTCTGGTAAGGATGCTTCCTGCGCGCCTCCCTAGGGAGGTGCTTCGGGCATGTCCAACTGGGAGGAGACCCCGAGGAACCCACGCTGGAGAGACTACGTCTCCAGACGAGGTGGTTGTGGAAAGAGACGTCTGGGCGTGTGTTTGTGTCGTCCTCCTTGACGTGTGACTTTGCATTGAGTCACATCATTCATATAAAAAACTGGAACTGCTCTCACTAAGTAAAAATATTGGATGTATCATGAAATAAAAAATCCTGCAAAGATGACTCAGTACTGTAAAACAGCTAGAGTCCTCCGTCAGAACAAAATGGGACAATATTCCCTCCAAAACCTCCAACCGCTGGTCCTCTCAGGTCCTGGACATTTACAGAATGTTGTGACAAGACAAGGAGACGCTTCACGGAGGAAACTTGCACCTGAACAACTTTAAACTGACGTGCTGCTGCCATTAAATTCAAAATACCTTTTTTATTATACATATACAATTAATTATAAATTACACAATTTCTCAGTTGGGATGGTCAAATCAGTGCATTCTGTTTTTATTTACACTTAATACATCCAAACTTTTTCAGAGTTGGTGTTTCATCCTGTCGGAACTTTATCTCTTACTTGGTCTTATTTCAGATCATCTCTTATTTTTCTCATCTTCTCATTTTATCTTCTCTCATCTTGAAAGTGTTAAGTACCTTTTAACTTTGCAGATTAACACAAGTGTTATAATAAGTGTCTTTTGGATGATTGTTTACATATAGATCTCTTCTTACTGGTAATTTCACAAATGTTCCTGTTTGTGTCTCAGAGGGGAAGTTCCTCCATGACGGGAACATCGTTGAAGCCCGTGAAGCTACCGAGGAGGATCTTCTGGTGGTCCACTCCAAACGCTACCTGAACAGATTAAAGGTAGCTTCACCTTCATCCTGCATTCAGACATGTTGTCTCTCACAGCGACAGCTCTGCTTGTTACTTTAACTTTTTATAACACGTTTCCTTCTTCAACACCTGAAGGACTCTGACGTTTATTAGAGATGAACTCAGTGTTTATAATAACAATAATCATGTCTTATAAATTAGTATCACTGACGGATGACTGATGTATGCAGACTGAAGTTGTTAAATGTAATCTGGTTCATGCTGTGTGTGAACCAGCAGCTACTTCTTGGTGTTTTTATTGTAAATTTAACTTCATGACATCATAAACTAAGGTCGCTGTGGTAGGTTGTGTGTAGTTTAAGCTTTACTCTTCCTCAAATAAGGAAGCTCCACCCTGCCACTCGTCTTCACTTCTAGCTGGTTCATCGTTCGGCCGAGTGAAATGGAACACGTCAAGTGTTTGTTTTTGTTGTTTGTTTTTTTTGGGGGTGGGGGGGCAATCTTCACCACTTTCTAACATTTCAAGACTCCTGCTGGAATCTGGATGACACCTTTTACTAATTTCAGACTCGACACATGTATGACCAAAGCCTTCACAGAGCTGTGTTCTGTTTGGGTGTAGTGGTCTGTTGTGGTGGCGTCCATCACTGAAATCCCCCCGCTGCTGTTTCTGCCCAACCCGCTGGTTCAGAGGAAGGTTCTGAGGCCGCTACGAACCCAAACAGGAGGCACAATAATGGTGGGTATCTCCAAACTTTATCCTCTGCAGCTTCCTGTTCTCAGGTTGTGCTATTGATCTAATAAATTACGTTAACTTGTCAGACGGTAGAAATCCTGTCCATAAAGAGAGAGACAGCAGCAGGCTCGAATCGCGGCAGCGACACTCATAGTGGCACTTCTGGTGTCAGGTGCCACGCTGCATCCGGCTGCACTGGCAGCTGCAGTGGCGCCTGCCGCAAATTTACTGGCAGCTGCCGGGGATTTACTTCGTTTGTGACAGGTGACACGGCTTCTCTGGATTTAAATTATTATTTTTTTTACTATATTGCCTCACAATATAAGAACAGAGGCAATTTATAGATAGCAAAAAATAAACAAATCACTTCTAAAAAATATAAAAAAGGGAATACAGTGGTGCTTTGTTCGGCTTCTCTAGATTGAATATGAATATGGAAAAGTTTATTTCAAACAAATCAATTAAACAAAATAAAAAATAAGGGAGCACAGTGGCACTTGGACTTCTCTAGATTAAATATGAATATGAATAAGTTTATTTTTTTTTTTTTATTAAACAAAAATGTATTAAAAAAAAAAAATTTAATCTAGAAGCCAGTGAAGCAGGATGCAGCGTCACACCTGACACTGGAAGTGCCACTATGAGTGCCGCTGCCGCAATTTGAGCTCGGCCCTGCTGCATAAAGATGTGATCAAATTCTGTCCTGCCTGTAGCTCTCATATCCATCCAAATTATTTCAACAAACCAGAGAACAAATTTTATTGAAGTACTTGGAAAACTATCATTGGATGTTCATCTAAAGCTGATGAACTTTTAAACTATTCAAGGTGGCTGTCATCGCTAGTTGCCTGATAAAACTCAGTCAGGTTTACACATATTCAACCAAAATCTGATGCGAGTTATTTAAACAAATGTCTTTGTGCTACCTTTTTATGTGAAATTACAGCTTAAAACCTGTATACAAGTTTATTTTTAGATGATAAATTTCAGATTTTTCACATTACCTCCCAACATTTGACTTACAGAGTGAGGTTAAAGTGGGCTCTATTTTTATTTTCATGAAACCCTAATTGTTTATCATATTAAGACATTTTATTACATTTATTTATTACATTGTTGGATGTAACTGGGACCCTGTGTACATAATCTCGTTCCACCACATGCACCACATGAGGTGTGTATGATAAATAAATCTCTTTGACTCTGACATCAAGAGGCTAGAAATGTGCTTATAAAAGAAGAGGGTCGACAGTAAACGCTCACTTTTAATACAGATTAGTCCTTTTTTAATCTGTTTCATCACTGAAGTCTCATGCATCAAGGACTAGAAAGTTCCTGGAGCAACTTTGACGGGGACTGCTACGTGGCGGCCATTTTAAAATGTAGTTGTCTAAAATGCCTACGTCTTGACGTATACGTGCATCTTGAGAGGTGGAGGCAGGAAGAGTTTGTTCGATGACTTTATGAGTTTTCTTCAGAGACCTCTCCCCTCCAGGTCATGTGACCTCAGAGGCTGTGAAGAGTTCTCTGTGTTTTTCAATGAGAAAAATGGCGTCTTTGTTTACAAATTACGTCGCCATGGTAACTCAAAATGCCAATTAAAGTAATAGCACACGTCACGCTTATGAGACGGTCGTTTTGAGGTAACATTTGGGGGGGGGGGGGCATGTTGCGGTTCGCGCCACATTAAAGTTGCAGGAAGAGCACGACCCCTTTCAGGTGGATCATATCAGGTGGCTGCCTTCAGGCACTCCCCAATTATTTTTATTTCTTAAGCTTAAAAGCTGCCTGTTAACTGGTACCAGCCCGCCCGCCGGCCCTCGTAACGTCTTTCTCCTTTAAACAGCTGCTACGTTTAACCAGGTAGACCCTCCTCCTTTGATTGACACCTCGTTTGACCAACTGGGTCGATCTATGGTCTCTACAGAGCCCGTGATATTGACCGAGCGTCGTGTTCTGACCCGGGACACCCACACCGTTCAGCTGTGACGCCTGTTCTGATGCTACAGACGTTCTAACAATCAAACCGTCATCACAGTATTTATGACAGAACTACGATTAGTTTTACAGAGACCGAGCTTTGACTTTACTCTGGTGGGTTCAAGAACGGATTAAATTTAGTCTGGGTACATTTATTCAGGAGTTTTCAGCATTTTGGGGGCGACATTAAACATGTTGGAAATAAAACCTCACGTTTTTTTTTTTTTTTTTTTTTATATCTGAGCTGAATTCTCTGCTTCAGGCTGGAAAACTGGCTGTTGATCGAGGATGGGCCATCAACGTAGGTGAGCTTCTGTCGTTTTCCTTCACTCTTCAGTGTAATGGGACACGAACGCACTTCATTCTTGACCCATTTTTATATTTTCTACAGTTTTACCAGTTTATCCCTGAATATTAAAAAAGTAATAACTATGTTTTTAGAGTTGTAGACATAAAACTAAGATTATCATGGACTGATTGATTTTAAATTAATAGCTGTAACTTTTTTTTTTTTTTACTCTTTATTTAAATAAGTAGATGATAATATTTATCAAGAATGATTTAAACTGGTTGAAATTAATATTTATTTATCAAGGATTATTTAAATTGGTTGATATTAATATTTATGTATAAAATATTAATTAAACTCGTTGATATTAATATTTATAGAGTATTATTTAAATTGGTTGATATTGATATTAATTTATCAGGATGTTTCTGTGAAGTTGATTTCAGGTCATTTATAGAAACAAAGTTTTTGCTCAACCGCTCATCTCAAGTTATTATAATTAGTAGTTTAAAAAGTATTTTTCCATTAACGGTTGTAGAAAGTACATAGAAAAAGTAAATAACTTTGTATTTTTACACATGTGAGGTGAACTTAAACAAACTTAACACGCGTTAAAATATTTGAATGAACTCACAGGAAGCTCTGAGTAAAATCTCTGAATGTTCTTCAGAACAATAAAACAGAACCAATGTTCTTCTCACGGTTTTATTCTCTGGTTTTTCTGCTGGGAGGTTCTCAGGTGGGTTTCTTTTTCCTTCTTCAGTCCCAGGAGTCTCCACAGCGCGGTCATGGGTTTGGTTTGATGGGTTTGGTTCTGGACTCTGGGTTCTTCTCCCTTTGGGTTCACCTCCTGCTCTGAGACCACGCTGGGCTCCATCGGCTCTGTGGGTTCTGGTCCAAAGCTCTGGGTTCTGCGGTCCTGAGCAGAATCAAGCGGGGTGCTCGTCTCGGTGAGGTTTGGCTGGTCCTGTGAGGTTCTGGTCCGGTCCAAAGCAGTCCTCAGCTCTCTGATGACAGATATATCTTTGAGCGCTCTTTCTGCGTGAACTCTTCTCTCGTGGTTCAGATGTTTCCGGTTCTGGTCCAGTTCTTGTTGAAGAGCTGTGTTCTTGTCTTTTTCTCTCTTGCACGCAGCTTTTAAATCCTCGTAGTCTCTATGCGTATTCCAGACGTCCTGGAGGTCCAGGTGTCTTCGTGCTTCTCGCTCCACACACTCTTTGAGCTGCTCGCAGGTCCGACTCAGTTCTTGGACCAGTTTCTTCAGACTGAGCCTCCTGCTGTTGTTTTGTCTCTCTGCAGCCGCGCCGTGCTCCGTCTCGTGAGCTTGTTGCCGAAGAGGGCGATGGTCTCTCCTGGTGGCGAGCTCGTGGAACCGCGGAGCGAACTTGTGGACACGTGGAGCTGGCTCTTGGACACGTGGAGCAGGCTCTTGGACATGTGGAGCAGGCTC